TTCTGACTGAAGGCTTGTGGAACGTGCAGTAGTGAAAGGCAGGATTGGCACGCTGCACCAAGCGTCTCTAGACACGTCTTCGATGATTGTCAGGACACAGTTGGAAGTAAGGTTTGTCCTAAACACTATATGCCCCAGTCAGCATGATTCCAACCTCATCGAGCTAATCCCGCATAATCTGGCTTGACGGGGTGTAAAGGGGTGATTGGCATTTAATTAAAATGGGCGTTAACGAGCGTAAATTTAAAAAATCAGCTGTCCCAAAAATGGTCATGATGGGGCCCCTCGTGTTTCGGGTCACACGTCTGATGGTTGCTTTCAATAAAAACAGGTGCTGTGACAGCTGATCTAACAATCAATCTGATCTCCATCTGCTGTGGCCCCAGGTCGACCCCTACCATCATGACGCTGAAATCTGCTACTATCCACCCCCTTCTTGCCAGTATCATCTAATGGCAGCCCCTTCCCACCCAAAATGACGAGCGATTCTCCCCATTTTGAATCTGCCTCTTTTATTCAATGATACACCGAAACTCCCGAGGAAGGGACTCTAAAGCTCGAATTCTGCGGTGAGACATTTTTTCAGTTGTTGAAAGGTATCCTAAATCGCAATGCAAGAAAAATTTCGATTGAGAATCACTTCTTATAGACACCAGCTGAGTGCGCAGCTCCGATGCACTGTAGCTCCCGCTATTCATTCATTGGGCATCAAATTTTAATCATTTCCATGTTTGGTACAAATGTCTTTGCATGCCAAATTTCATTACAATCAGGCAACTCCTTCCTGGTGCATCGTCTTTTTTGTTATAAAGTGTAGTTATAATTAACATAAATATGTACATACATATGACAGAATCACAAGTGGCAATTAATAGTTATTAATTATCATTAAAGTATCGTAACGGGGCTGTATCTGTAATTCTTTAAATAATTAGTTTTAGTACATTAATTTTAACTAATTATAAATTATCGTATTTTTACCCAAAACAATAGTGTATAGAAAATTTCGAAATAGGCGCTTTAAAAATGAGAAAAAACCTTTTAAAATTTTTGACGTAACTAATCGCCAAAATGATGCCAACGGGGCTGTATCTGTAATTCTTTGAATAATTATTTTTAATCAATTAATTTTTATTAATTAATTTTTTATTATTGTCACCCAAAATAATATGTATATAAAATTTCAGCTCAATTGAGCGCTTTAAAATTTATTTTATTAACGATTGAAAATTACACCAAGATAAATAAATAAATAAATATATATAGAGTGTGAGCTAATAGTAGGAATTGAAAAAGCATCAATACACATCAGTTCTTTTTAAGTTGGCTTGGGATTACAGATTTTTAATAATTTACAGAATATTTCAACGAACGAAACCCTAGAGAGGGATTGGTCACTATAAACTTATATAACTACTAAGATTAGATACAACTTTTGGGCCACAAAAGCCTTTTGGGGTAACATTTTTCATCAAGTTTTCAGGATACCTTTATAGATCATATTTAGCTTTCACATAGGTCATCATTACTTAATACTAATGATAGCGCATAAGACGCATATTGTAGTCTATTAAAAGAAAAACCAGAAATTTAAATTTAGAATAGCTTTATCAAAATAATCATTCGCAATGAAGAAAACGGAACAAAAAAATTAATGGAATGAATCTTCTGATTAAAAAAAATTTGATTTCTGGACGCCTAAATAATATTTATGAAATCATATCAACTGCGACTGAATTTGGTAAATAATGCTGTACGTCTCTCAGCAAAATATTTGTTTATATTACTGAAGTATCTGTTTTACATGTTATGTTATTCGTACGAAAACCATTTCAATTATAACAATTGTTTTTTCCCTTAAAGTACTACTTATTAAAAACTTAAATAGTAGTTAATTATTAATTTTTAAAGGTATAGTTTATAGAATATGTTTTGGAATTTCTCATTTTTATTTCGAAAGGTTCATTTGAAAGTAAATAACTTAGCCTTTGGAATAAAGTTATTTGACTCGGCAAAAAATACAAGTCATAGCTGTTGTATTTTAGAATAAATTGAGAATAGATTTAAAATGTAAAATCATTAAATTATCAAAAGATGTGATATCTATCACTGAAATATTTATCATTTTTTTCTATTTTTAACACGCTTTTATAAGTTTCACTTGTATGTAATGGAATCTTTGGATTCAATTTTTACCCACTTTAAAAGGTCAGATTAATTCGGAATTTTGCACATTTGTCCAAGACCGATGACAATACAATAATTTCAAAATTTTGTTCCATTGTCCTGATAAGGATCGTCAAAAATAACGATTTTAAGGATTTCGTGACTTAGCGACTAATTCATTACATCGTTTCCAGATTTGGCGACAAATTGCATATACCATTTCCAAATTTGGCGACTAATTCCAGATATGGCGACTAAAAGACCCTACCCCGTAAAAAGGTGCAACCCTAAAAATGAAAACGCTTATTAATACAAATAATACAAACAAAAAAAAGTGTTCTTTATGTTAGGAAAAAAAAAAGACTCGTGCACTTGAATAAAAATAATTTATATTCTAACTGCTGAATATTTTTTTATTTTTATAAAGCAATACGTTTAGAAGTGATGATTCGAATAAACATTATAGCAATACGTTTAAGAGGTGATAAATTTTGTTCTAACTGCTAAATATTTTTCTTATTTATTTTGATAATACAATATGTTTAGATGTGATGATATGAATTAACATTATAGCAATACGTTTAAAAGGTGATAATACGATATTGACATTCATATATGTAATATTTCTTCTTAACACACTTTTATTAGTTATACCTGTATCTATAGAGAAGGAATCTTTAAAATACAAAGGTAACGGAGAGAATAAATACCCTTTAGACCCATTTAATTAATATCCATTGAAGAGCAAGACTAATTTCAGCAGCCATATAATTCGGCCCAAATATCAAACTCAAATAAATTCAAAAAAAGATAAATGATATTTTTTAAAAACTAAAAAAACGATTTTTTTATTGTAAAATCGAACAAAAATGAAAAAAATTAAGCTTAAAATAACTAAAGAAACAGCTTTTATATAATCGAACTAAAAAGAAAAAAAAAATTCTAATTTAAAATAAAATAAATTAAGAGAAAATTAATGTCTTTGGAAAAAGCGTGGGTTTTTGACTTCTTTTTTACACTAACTCGCATTTCGGAAAAAACCCAGTAAAATTATAAAATTAAGAAACACCCAAACTTTTATCCAAAAATTTTTCTCGTTAACAATTCTTAAATTAGGGAAATTTTTTTTTACTTTTAAATAATTCCCCTTGCGTGTTTTTTTTTAAAACATAATTTTTTTTCTTATTCCCACTATCACAGATCGTGGAAGAAATAGAAATAACCTGATACAATTCTAATGCACAATGTCTCCAATCTTACAAAGCTTTCACAAAAATATATTTACTTATTTATTAAGTGTATCAAACCAGAGATATAAATACTCCATGAAAAATAAAAAATCGAAATCATCATCCATATTTTTTGAAACCCCCATCTGAAGCTTCGACAATCCCATACCTAATTATAAATTTCAACGAAACGGAAGTTTTAAAGAAATTCTATATATACATTCCCCTCATTTATAAATTTTCTTTTCAAAAAGTTTCCATCAAGTATTTCGTGTGAGGCATCAATTGAAAATCTTTGGGAAATCAAAAAAACTCTGCTTTTTAAACGCTCCAAAGCGTGATAATGTTTTCAAGAAAGGGGACAAAAGGCGGTTTTGTATGGAGGACAGATCAGCTTATATGAATTCTGTTTTCAGATTTTGGGCCGAGATATATTTTTCTTTCTTGTTTTTTTCATCATTTTGTTTCTCCATTTTATTAAAAAATAAAATATAATGATATCCCCCCACTACTGATCAGATCTTTTTGTTAGATCAGGTATGTGTTATTTTTATGATAATTTGAAATGCTTTTATTTTTAATAAAAAAAAGGTGATTCAAATTGCTTGGAGAATTGAACGTACAGGGTTAGCAAGAAATAAGTTGCCCGCTTCAGAGGGCTGAAGAATCCGTTTATTTGTCCCAATGAGATAAAATTTTAACTACAGATAATTCCAGTGATGCACTTGTCATTTATTAAATAAAAAATAATACAAAATTCTTCCAATAGGTGGCACTGTAATACACGTGAACACATTTAATATACTTTAAAAATGAACGAGTTACGCAGTTTAGTAATTTGAGATTTGAAACAAACCAATTAAAAAAAAAAGTGTGTGTGTACTTATGTACGCACGTAAGAAGTTAAACTTCTTTGGCGTAACAAGATTAACCCTCTAAGCGGTCTGCACTTAAAGTCTTGCCATTCTGGAGATGCTTCGAAAATGCACCGCACGTATTTTTTTGCCGTCAGGTGGGGTTCTCAAAAGCGGTTGAGCCGTATTTTTAAAAATGTGGCTCGGCCGTTTTGGGGAAAATCTTTTGAAAGGCAGAAAAACATTTTGGAATGAGGGGATTTTACTTTTGGGAACCGTTTGGGGGGTTTAAAATCTTTCAAAAAAATCTTTTGGGCAGGGCAAGCGGGGCCCAAGGAAAAAGGGGCGGTAACGAGCAGGATTGAACGATCCCTAACCTTCAGTCAATGGGCCCAACCAAAAACCCAAGATAATCACGATTTAAATAAATTTAAACACCCCGCAAAAGGGACAATAGGACCAATAATATGGGGGGGGGTCGAAGGGGGGAATGATCTTTTTCCGTTCTGCATATTTCTAGACAAAGCAAAAGGCTTCTCTGCCCGGGGTGTATATCTAAATGGGTAGAGCATTCGATTTCAGGAATCAGGAGGTCGGTTAAAACCAGGTGCCCCCATTTTCGGGGAAAGGGTGAAGAAAAAATTTTTTTGGGAAATTTCGAGGCGGCAATGATCTGCCCCGTTCTGATATTTCTAGACAAAGCATTTTCGTATACGTTCCTACGGAACACAAAGAAAAGGCTCTCTCCCCCGGGGTGTATAGCTCGTAGTAAAACATTCGATTGCAGATCGGGAGGCCCCCGGTTCAAACCCGGGTACCCCTTCTTCGGGGAAAATAAAAAAAATTTTTTGGGGGAAAATTTTTGAAGGCAGGGGGATTTGCCCCTTTTCTGTATATTTTACAAAAAGGTTTTTTTCGCTTTCCTGACGGTTTTGCGTCACACCCCAAGGGGGTTTCCCCATTGTAAAATTTACCCTCACCCCCTATTTCTCTAACGCCCCAAAAGAAGTATAACTTCAAAAATGCATACAATATACCAGAGAACATAAAAAAAATTAATAAAACTTTCTATCAGTTATTTTGAAATAATCTTTTATAAATAAAACAAAGAGAACCAAAATGATTACATTTTAGTTAATTTTTATAATAAATAATTTTCATAAACGTATACCACATTCGTTCATATTCAGAGGACTAAATTTTGAAAAAAACCAAACGATAACATAAAAATCGCTAAATTCAAGATACATCGTACACATGGAACACAGTGAGATATATTAATAAATGTAGGGAAAAAAAGAAATTATTTTTCAATCATCAAATGACGCATGAGGGAAAAATTCCCCCTCCCCCATCTGACAAATTCTTGACGAAACCCTTTTTAAATTTTTTTGGGGGGGAAATAATTGAATTCTTTTTTTTTCTGAAAAGGAGGGAGGGAAAAGCTGCAAATCGGGGTATTTCCACAATAACAGCCCAAACCCCTTTGACTATCAGCAAGTGAATGTTTTATAGGGATGCAGTACCCTTGTGGTGGAGAGAAGCACGTGTTCTGATAGAACTCGAACTCGCAGGTGTTGGCAGACATTAAATATTGATTGATGTTTGATGACCCTGATGAGACCACGCCCACACAAAGAGATTGCCAGATGGCTAGACCGAAAATGACTCGGATCGACCTCTTCCTGTATTATGCAAACCCGTGTATTTTGTATTCAATTTTTCTCTTTCTCAGCTATGAATTGGTTCGGAACAGGTCGAACAGTGGTAACCTTCAGTGTTTTGTTTTTGGTTTTGGAAACCTTTTTTTGTAAAATTTTTTAAACCCAAAAGAATGTTTAAATTTTTTTTTTCAGATTTGCCAAATATATTTTTACCAAAAATTATAATAAATTTAAAATTTTTGGATAATTTTTTTCAGTTAAAAAAATAAGGCAATTCTAGTTAAATGGTATAAAAGGTAAAAGGGGAGCATGGGGAAATCCCTTTTAAAACCAAAACCCCTTGGAACCCGGGGTAAAGAGGTGAAAATAAAGGGGGTAATTTTGGAAAAGTGTCCCCCCAAATTTAAAATTTAAAAGGGTTTTTAAAATTTTTTAAGAACATTTTGAAAAAAAATAAATTTTGGGTAAAAATTTTGGGAAAAAATTAATTAGAAAAATTTTTTTCAAAATTTTTCCCCTTTTTGTGAAAAAATCCCTTTTTTTGGGAAAATTTTTGCCTAATAATTTTCAATGTTTTAAAACCAAATTTTTATTTTTAAAAAATTCACAATTTTAAGGTTAAAAAACCCTTTGAAATAATTAAATCCTTTTTTTTCCCCTTTTAAAATTTTCCTTTTTTGGGTAAAACATGGAAAAATTTAAAAAAAATTTTTTATTTAAAAATTCAAAATTTAAAGCCTTTTTTCGGGCTAAAAATATTAAAATTATAATAAAAAAAAAAAATTTTAAAAAACCAAAAGGGAGAATTTTAAAAGGGGTAATTTATTTTAAAAAAATTTTTGTCAAAAAATATTATTTTTTTAAATTTTTTTTTTAAAATTTCTTTCCCTTAAAACAATTTTCCCTTTTTAATTTTCAAAAAGGACCTAAAAAGGTTTTCTTTATACGTTTTAAAACCGGTTTCGAAGTACCCCGGGAATTTAAAAAATAAAAAAAACCGGCAACAAAGAAGCTTTTAAAAAATTTTTTTAACAAAAAAATATTTTTGTAAAGTCGGGGAAATAAAAATTTCCTTGAGCCCCTATTTAAATTTTGGGGTAAACATTACTTTTTTTAAAACCCGATTGGGTAGGGGCAAAATTTCGGGGAAAAAGGTTTTAAAAACCCCAAAAATTTTTTATACCGAAAATTTTTCCTCATGGAAATTTAAAAATTTGGTCGTTTACCCCCAAAAAAGGGCCCAAAAAACCTTTTTTTAAATTTTTAAAATAAAAATTTAGCCATAGTCCTTTTTTTTTTTTAAAAAACGCATAATTTTTCATAAAAAAAAACCGTCTAACCTCAACCCTTTTTGTGGATCCCCAAAAAAATCCTTCAGAAAAAGTCCCTTTTGCTTCTGCATAAAAATTTATTTTTTTAAAAAATCCAAAAAATTTTAGGGAGAAAAAAAAAAACAAAAAGTAATTAAACATTCTTCAAAAATCAAAAATTTTCGGGAAAAAAAGGGAAAAACCTGAAAATTAAAAAAAAAAAAAATTAAAAAAAAGAAAAAATTTTAATTCCCTTTCCAATTAAAAAATGGGAAAACACCATTCAAAATTCAAAATTTTAAATTTTTAAAAAAGTCCTTTTAAAAAAAAACCACAAATAACAAAAATTTCTTTAAAAATTTTTTTTATTTGGAAAAACTTTCCCTCCAAATAAATTCAACTTTAGGGAATGTTTTGTTTTTTGGGGAATTTTGTTTAAAACTTAAATTTGTTCCTTCATTTTAAAGAAAAAATTTTAAACCCGGTTTAAAAAGCAAAAAGGGAAATATTTTTCCCTTTTTAATTTAAAAAAAATAAAAAAATTTAAAAGGGCCTTTTACAAAGGAAACATTTAATTTTTGAAAAAGAATTTTTTTAAAACCCTTAAAAAAAATTAAAAAGCAAGAAAATTTTACAAAAATAAGTGGTTACGCTTTTAATTTTTTCATTAAAAAATTTCAAATTATAAAATAAAATCTGTCTTCAGATAAAAATAAAAACTAAGTAAAATTATTGGTTCTTAAAAGAATTACAAAGCCATTTGTTTGTCTGTGGGATGGAAAAAAATTTTTTACCTTAAAATTTCTTTATCTATTTGTTCATCTAGAATCCGCCGTACAATTCTTAGCATAATTGCTAATTTAAATTACTTTATTCTATTAATTTTTTCAATAGTTATTCCTTTCCAAAACAAAAACTTTGCCATTAAATTTGTGGAAATGTCGAACATATTCCATTTCAAGAGTTTCCGCCAGCGTCTAAAAAGCTTTTAAATCAAAATTCAATAAATCAATTCTAATTATTTGTATAAAAAAGATAATTGTCAAACGAGCGATTAATTTTGCAAGTTCTATAAAAGTTTCTCTTCATCCGGAATTCTCAACGATGATTCTTTTCTTTATCGAACCCGTATACTATAATCTGAGTCGTTTGGAGGAGAAGGCAACTTTTCTCACAGATACCATTTTCTTTCTTCCGGAAATGAATAGCTATAGAGGTTGACAGGGCACAATAAGGGATCGATCAAGCGTCTGGTCCCCAACACCGTCATTAAAATATGCGATAACGTCCCGTCCCAGAGATGAGAACGAACCACCAACATGGGGCGAAAAGAATTCGAGGAACATAGTTTCACTGAAAGAATGCATGGACATTTTTCCTTTTTTCCCCCATACTTTCCTTTTTGTAAAATTTTCTAATGTTTTAAGTGGTTCTTACTTTAAAAATTGTAAGAAGTGAAAAACAAGGAAAAGACAAACACATAACCATCTGTTGAAAATATGGACATCCGTTGATTATTCATATCTTCATATAGAAAGATCCGTGTCACGTTGTTTGACCGCGATGATCTCCGAAACTACACAACCGATCTTTATATAATGGTGTGTCATTTTGTTCAACTTGAAAGATAGGTTAGTCTTTTTGTCAATTAATGACGTCAATACTTTTTTATTTCTGGAAATGCAAACGAATCCGGGAAATTGGAAAAGTCGCAAAATGTTTAATGCGTGCTTGTCGTCGGAAGCGGATTTTGCATATGTAGGGCACGAAAAATAAATTCCCCCCCGTATTTCGGGGGGTGAAATCCGAATTTTTGATTCAGTTTTTAAAAAAAACCACTACGTTCCGGAACCGTGAAAATTTTTAAAAAGGGATAAATGGATACTTTCATGATATTTTTGTGTCCCTTAGATTAGAATACATGTATAAAATTGTTTTTTTAAAGGGCATTTTGAGGAAAAAAAAAATTTAAATATATTATTTCCAAATTTTCTTGGGAAAAACCTTTTTTTCCCAAAAGTTCTCCTTTTTTTAAAAAAAGCTTTTATTGTTTTTTAATATTTTTCCTGTATATACTCAGACCTCGGGACGAGGGGCAACTATGATTTTTTAAAAAATTCAGATTACTTTCAGGGTTTCAACCATTTGAAATAATTATCAGCGTATTTTCTTAAAATTTCTCCCCCTTTTGTTTTTTATAAAACATGGATAAACCACTTCCCAAATTATGCGTTTCAAAAAAACTATTTGGACTCTGTACAGAGGTTTTTTAGCCAGGTCAAAAGAAAATATTAATACAATAGAAGCATTTTTTTTCAAAAAGGAGAACATTTTGGGAAAAAGGTTATTCTAAGGTTAAGCCAAATATTGTATTTTAAAAAATTTTTTTTGTAAAAATTCCCTTAAAAAAATTTTATATACATTTTCTAATCTAAGTGACACTAAATAACATAAATATTATCCATTTACACGCTTTTGCAAAATCACGGTTCGAACGTAGTCGGATACCTTAAAAAATTCCCGGAACTTTGCTGGATAATGTTGGACGACTGTATTTTAGGCACACATTGGCAAATACTTACCTTAAATGCCTTGGGGAGCGTTAACTTGGTCTCTTGCGTATTTCTAAACGGGAAATCTGAATCTGATATCCAGTCTCAGAAATTTTCGTAACTATGCAGGATATTTTCGGACGACCATCTTTTACGTGGACCATGGCAGGGGCTTACTTTAAAAGTCTTGGGGCGTGAAAAGCGCGTTTCTGGTGGAAACTAGAATCTGAAATCGGTTTTAAAAATTTTCCCCCTTCCTTTTGATGCCGGACGGCTCAAAAAGTCCCTCCCCCTTCC